GGGGCTGTGCTTCTTTCTGCAAACTCAGAGAAAGAAGCCCCTTATTACTGTCCAAGGAGCTTCCCCCCTAATCCCCTCCCTCAGGTATTATGTAGGGAGGGGTGGAAGACACCTGGAGTCACAAGGCAGAGACTTAGCTGGGGGCTCAGGCTAACCCCAGACCTAATGTGGAGCTCTTACTTATGGGGTCTCTGTCCTTTCCATGCCCCTCAGACCTAGCACACTGGATAACTGGAAAGCGGGGATGATCTGTTCTAGGTTTCCGATTGAGGCTAATGATCCAGAAACCCCAAGATCCATCCGCACCTCCATTCCCGGCTGACTATACCTAGAAGATGATGGGGTCATGGGGCTTGAGGGCGATAGTGTACTGCTCGGCCTTACCTGGCAGGCTGCCTACCTTCCCTGTTTGTCTATTTCTGTCTGCCTGTCTGTCTCAGACAGGAGTAGACTCAGGTGTCAGCACCAAAGCATCCCCACCCCCATCTGTAGGAGAGGACTGAAGTCTCCATCTTGGTCCTCAGCTCTCCCACCCAGATTTTGCACACCTCACAGGTTCAGCTGGGCGCCTTGAGGTCTCCATCTTCCCAGGGTCAGGATCCCAAAGGAATTGCTACAAGCCCAGGAACCAGGAATTGAGTACTGGGAGGTCCTCTAGGGAGGCCAGACAAGCCCCTCATTGTGTAAATAGAAAACCAAGATGACGCTGGGAAATGACTTGCCCAAGGCCACAGAAGGGACACAGCCACGCCAAAACCTCCTCCGCCCAGCGGAGCCTGCTGGCCTGGATTACCCGGAATAGGCCCCACAGCCCAGGAACAGGGCCGCGCGGGCGGGCGGGGCCGGATGGGAGCCGGATCTCCCTGGGGAGCGGCTCCGGGGCCTCCGCGACCCGTATGGCAAAGGAGGTGGCAACGGCGGCAGCAGGTGAATGCTTGATGATGCGACCCGGACCCCGGGCGGGTGCAGAGAGGCCGCCCCTGCCTCACGCGAGCCGAACGAACAAAACGCTCAGGTCCGGTTTGTGCGAGGGGCTCGTCGCGGGGCGGGAGCGGAGAGCCCGGGGCCGGGCCGTGGCCCTCGGCGATCGCCTGGTCTTCGTCTTCCGCGAGCGCAGAGCCTCCCCACGCTCCGCTGGCCGCCGCCCTCACTTGCACGCGTCCGCAGCTGACACGTCGGCGGCCCGGCGGCCACCACCACAGGTGCGCCTCCCGACCGCCCCTCCCTCAGGTCCGCCCTCCGCCGGCCTCCCTGCCCCCTCAGCCCAGCTGGCTTGGTCCCGGGTCCCCGCCCCGGAGTTTGTGCCGCAGTCGGGGCTCAGCGCGCTCTTATACAGACTGCCAGCCCCCGCCCCTGGACGCACACACACTCACACCTGTCCAGGCGCCCGTTTGCTCAGGGCAAATATTGACTCAGAGGAGGCGGAGCGCACCCCCTCCCCACCGCCCTCCCCCTTCGCTCCGGGGCCGGAGCTCCTCCGAGGCCTTGGCGGGGGAGGGGGTGCGAGGGGGTGCCGGAGATCTGGGCGCCTCTGGAACAACACCAGATGTCACTTTTCCACCCACCTGCCTCTCGCGGGGAGGAGTCGAGCCGTGGAGGACGGAGGCTACCCTGTGGGGGTTGGGGGTACCAGAGAGTAGGGCACCCCAGGGAAGATGGGACAGCCCGTGGGCTGGGAATTCAGATTCACCATGGCAGTCACTTAGTAGGGTTAGTGGCCCGCTGCCTGGCGGTGGCCTCGACCTAGTGGTGACCCCGGCACCTAGCTCCTGCTGCTCTGAGACATGCCTGGGTTTCCGTTCCATCCCGACCTCTCAGCTGAGAGTGCCAGGAGCCAAGGGAAAGGGCTGGAGCGAATGGAACCGAGCCTCGAGGCTGGCGCTTCGGGGAAAGGATAGGGGTAGGTATCCCACTTCGCGGCCACCGGCTGGTGCTTAGTTCGTGTCCACCAGTGCACGCTGGGGCCACGACCAGTCAAACCCTGGCAAGAGCGCCCTCCACCGGCTGGCTGGAGCCCCACGCCGGGCCGTGAGAGGCGAGAACTCTTGTCTAGCACGGGGCCCAGTGGCAAGGCTCACCCACCTGGTCCCCAGGCCCGCGGGGTCGTTGTGGGCCATCTTAGCTGTCCCCACTATTCGTCCTTCTGTGAGCGCGCGCAAGCTCCCCCATGTAGGGGAAATAAAATCAAGGACGTTATAGAAAAAAGACTGGGTGCTTTACTGGCGGGGGGGGCGTGGAGCGAGGGGGTGCAGGTAGGGCTAAGAGGGAAAGTCCGAAGGGCTGGGCTCCGGCGTCCGCGAATAGTCGATGGTGTGTGGACCAGTCAGGCGAGGCGCCTCCACTTGCTGTTGCTGCACTGGGGGTATTTGCAGCAGCGGCGGAGTTATTCTGGAAGACAATAATCCCAGAGAGCGATGGGGATGGGGCTTCAGGCTGAGCCTGCCCTCCCTTGCCTCCTGTGCATCTCCTGGCCTGGGCGCCGCCACCTGGGCACGTTGAGCGGCGGCAGGGCAATGACGCGCGGCCTCGAGGTGAGCACCACTTCCCCACGGCTAGCTTCCACCAGGATATTCTGAATCAGGTTCTCCAGCAGCGCCTCCTGCAGGTTGGCGAAGGCCGGGAGTCTGCGGAAGGAGTGGGACGGGGCACCAGAGTCAGTACATCCACCATCCCCGCGGGATTCATGGCCTCGTTGGCACAGTACAAAGTGCCTTGTGTTTAACGTGGATGCTCATTTCACCATCCTCTCAACGATGTTAGTTCCAATTTTACACACTCAACATGTAACTAACGGAGACCAAGTGATCAAGTGGTAGAAGTGATGGGATTCGAACCCAGGCAATCCTACTCTGCAAGCCAGGCCCTGGTTTGGGGAAAGGCAGTGAGGGATGTGTGGTTGCAAAAGAGACTGTTGTGGGACCTGGAGAATTCTGATAAGGAAAAAGCATCCAAAGAACAGGCCTGAGGGAAGGTGGTGCAAGACAGGGTATTTCTCTTCTGACTGTGGAAACCCATTTAAAATATGCTAACCACTGTGCTACTGAGCCGTGATGGTGCAGTGGGTTAAGCATTGTGTGGCTAACCACCAGTTCAGCAGTTCATGGGGAGTGAGATGGAGGCTATCTGCTCCTATAGATTTACAGTCTTGGAAACCCTAAGGAGTAATTCTACTCTGTCCTATAGGGGTCGCTATAAGCCAGGACCCACTGGATGGCAGTGGGTAACCACCCTGCTGGCTGTGGCATGATGATAAAAGATGAACCACTGGTCCTCTGAGAAAACAAAACAAAACACAAAACCTAAAAGCTCAGACTTACTGTTGAACTGTTCTGCAAGCCCTTAGGGTACTAACCTGGTGTCACTGAAGACTGAGTTAGGAAGCGTTGGGCACCTGGTAGGACTCCACCCAGCTTACCACTGGGATCTGAGTCCATGGGCCGCTCATAGCCCTCTCCCAACCCTCACCTCACTGGGGCGCCGCTGCTCACCGAGAGATGGCCTCCTTCTCATCTTGCTCCTGTTCCTCCTTCATTATGACCTTCAGCTGCTGCTGAAAGTTCCACTGCAGGGTCTCTTGGGACCCAGAATGCAGCATGGGCTCGATCTTTATCCAGGTCAGCTTTTCTTCCTTCTCCTCCATCTCCCTCTCTTCCATTTCCTCTTTGTCCATCTCCTCTTCTTCTTCCATCTCCTCTTCCTCTTCTTCCTCCTCCTCTTCTTCCTCTTCCTCTTGTTCCTCTTCCTCTTCCTTTTGCTCTTCCTCTTCCCCAACTTCTCTTTTCCTCAACTTCAGTTTGAACTCCTCCAGTTCCTTGGCTGTTCCTTCTTCCCAGGTTTTGGGAGGTGGAGACAGGACTGGTACTAAACGCAGGCTGCTCTTTCTGGCCATGAACTTGGCTGACTGCTCATTCCAGAACTGGCAGAAATATGGCACCTGTTCCACCAGACTTTGATTAATGGCTTCATGGAAGTTTTTGTCCTCTAACAGACCCCTGGATGGCAGGAAGGAGAAGAAACTTTGTTGAAGCTTCTCAGGATTCCCTGTGGGGCCTTGAATTCAGGATTCCCTAGGAAGCAGCTCTTGCCTACTGTGTCCACAAAGAGTTACTAAGTGGAGAAGGGAAGCCCTTATCAGTTGTCCCTCTCATCCTTTTTAAAGGAAGGCATTTTGGGTCCCAGGGATTCTTGGAGGTGAACATTATGTGGTGGAGGAGGAGCCAGGAGGTCAGAATTACAGTGATGAGGGTCAAAAGTCCTGGAGAGGCAGTGAACTCCAAACCCCACCTAGCAGCCAAGGAAGAACTTAGGATGCAACTCTGAGGATCCCTCCCCCTAGCACCAACAGAGTTGCACCAACCCAGGGAGCGGGGGCCACCAGTGAAGTGATCTTCCAAGGAAGTTCTATTTCTCAGAAAAAGAAGGGCTCGGACTTCAGGGGCTGTGGGTAGACCCAGAATTGATTGGATGAGTTGGAGAAATGGGTTAGAACAAGGGTCCAAGAGGTTTGTGGTTGGTTACCGGATGATGGTGGTGAGACAATCAATCAGCAGCAGCTTCTCTTGCTTGGAGACAGTGGCCCAGTTGTCGTAGGTGAATTCGTCCTTAGAAATCTCTGGCTCCTTCCCAGGAGGCGTCTTCTTTGGTTCTTCCCTGGGTCAGGCCATGATATTTTGAGTGACTTTAGCAAGCCATCATGCTGGGGTTGGGGCACAAACAATGATGGTGGCTGCCCAAGCATGAGGACATAGATGAATTTGGGGAACCTTTCAGCCTTAATATGGTGATACTAGAGAGGGAACCAAGCCCAATGCTCAGAGGAAGTGCAGGACCTAGAGAGACTTCAAGTTGGGAAGAAAGGAACAAGGAGAAGAAGGGAGGCTTAACTGGGCTCCCCAGGGGGTTCTGACTGCCTTGCCTCTCTCCTTGCAAGGGCCCAAGCAGTGATGAGGCATCTTGAGCCCAACAGTGTCCAAGGAGTCCCACTGCCTCTGTACTTGCTCCAACCCCTTACCCAGGAATGGGTCTGATAAGCCCCAGTTCTGGAGCGGGGGAAGGGTCATCAGAGACTGAAAGAAGAAGCTCACCTGTGCAGGAAGTAGCAGGGAAACTCTGAGAAGAAGTTGGCCAGAAAGGAATCCGTGGCATGAGCACGGGCAGTGAGGCTCAGGCAGAGCATGTCTGGTGGAGGTGGCTCGGGGCACGGCCAGGATGACTGCTCCTTGGGGATATGCAGGTTCCAGCTGGCAGGCCGGTTGGAAGACTGCTGGTTCTTGATGGGGGGCAGCGTCTTTGGGAAGTGGGAGGCATGGATGACAAGGGTTTGGAGGTTGCGATCCCATCACAGGTCCGTAACCTGGTCTAGCCCCCAAACAAGCCTTTTGAGTCACATAAGGATTTGACTCTACTCACTAGAATACCTGTTCCTTCCTTTTATGTTTCGGAGGTATCTCTAGGAGTAAACAGGACCCTCCCAAGTTATCCTGAGGAGATGGGTCTCACCTTGTACTTCCTCATTGGTCCACAGGTTGTGCAATATACCCTTCTCTGTGGAAGCAGACAGAGCCTTGCTTAGGATGATGAGGGGTCTCAAAAAGACTCCCCACTTACAACCCCTCTTGCTGACCCACAGAGGGCCTGAAGTCAATGCCAGGCTTTGCTGTGTCCTCTTGTTCCTGCCCAATACCCAATCACACCCTACTCCAGAACTTTCCTAGGGACATGCTGCCTGGAAGGCAACCTTGACATTTTGCCTGCAGACAAAGAAAATCTGGTTATTTAAATGACAATCTGGTGCTATAGGATAAGCACTGGACTGTTAACCGAAAGCTTGGCAGTTCAAACCTACTAGCCACTCCTTGGAAATCCTATCCAGGGTTGCTAGTCGGAACCTCTAAATGACACTTAGCACTAACAACAAAAAAAGGGACGACAAGGAGATGCTACCAAACACTTGCAGGCTGCCCCAAGGGTGCTGGTTCTTGTACCTGGTAATCTGTGGCTTGATGAAATAAGGAAACATCCTCCCCCCCGTATTAACACTTAATGCAGAAAGCCTTCCTCCTGGAGCCCCAGGGAATAATTTGCATTCACAGTTAAGCCAAACCATCTGAGAGAGCAATGGCTGGCTCCCTGGAGGTTCATGGTGGTGACCGCAGACAGAGGGGATCAGGGTGAAGAAATTCAGGTCAGAACTGAGATGCAAGTTTGTCTTGTGTTTATTATGCTTCCCCCACACCCAAATATGAACAGCCTATGTTTAGTGAGAGCTTCCTGGGTATCCGTCCACTTTGTTGTTGTTATGTGTCGTGGAGTCGGTACTGACTCATAGCAACCCTGAACAGGGTATCCAAGGCTGTAAATCTTTACAGGAGCAGAAAGCCTCATCTTTCTCCCGTGGAATAGCTGGTAGTTTTGAACTGCTGCCCCTGAGGTTCACAGCCCGATTCGTAACCACTACGCTACCAGAATGTACGTGTATGAACTTATTTAATCCTCACAACAACCTTATAAAGCAGATCATATTCTACTTGCCTTTTAAAGATATTTTTAACATGGAAAAATTTAAACATCCTCAAAATTAGAATAACACAAAGGACCGTCCCATCAGCAATCACCTGGATCCAACAATCAGCAGCTGATGGTCATGGCCGTTGTTTACTCTACACCCCACCTCTGGAATATCTTGAAGCCAACTCCAAATGTCAGTCCAAGAAACCGAGAGGTTAAATGGCTTGGCCAAGATCATAGAGCTAGAAATTGCTAAAGGTTGTTGTTGTTGTTAGGTGCCATTGAGTCGGTACCGACTCATAGCGACCTTATGCACAGCAGAACGAAACACTGCCCGATCCTGGACCAACTTCACTACCATTGCCACGCTTGAGTCCATCGATGCTGCCACTTGGCCAATCCGTCTCTTTGGGGGAGGGGCTCTTATCAAAAATAGGTTGGTTGTGACCACAGCCTGTACCCCAAACCACCATGCCACACTCTTCTATCAGAAGGTGAGCTCTTGCTTCTCCTGGGTTGCACATAGTTGTTATTGTCATGTGCCACTGAGTCAGTTCTGACTCATTGCGATCCTTTATAGGGTTTCTAAAGCTGTAAATCTCTGCAGGAGCAGAAAGCCTCATCTTTCTCCCATGGATCTGAACCACCAGCCATGCAGCTATCAGCCACAAAACCCACTACACCGCCAGGGCTCCTGCGCACACAGTAGGTGCTCATTAAATACTGGTTACATGAAGTAGGGGAGTCTCATGGGATATCTGGAACAGATTATGTTTAGCCTAATTCATTCAATCTAATAGCTTATGGTGAGTTAGTCAGTTTTCATGCAAAACCACCTTAGACCTCTATTCCCTCTGACAAACCCAGTCAGAAGATCTGTGGTGTTTCAGGCCCACTCATCTCTCCTCACCTTCGGTTTCCTATCTGTGATGGTGAATTCTACTTCCTGTCGTGCCTTCTCCTCCTTCCATTCCCGTAGTTCCTTATGGTACCTCCTCAGGAGTTGCTGCTGGTACACCTATGGCCCAAGATAAGGAGAGAAAACACCAAGATCTGGAGGGTCTGATGACAGATATTTTCCTGGGCCTGTGCTGTGGGCCCCTACCCTTCCAGTGTCTGACCTCTACTTCTCTCTGGGCGTCTGGAGATCTCAGAGCCCATCCTTCAGCATAAATCTCCTGCCTTTTCTCTGGGACTGGTCCTTACCTTACATACCAGGTCCACACTGTAGAAGCTGGCATGTACCGAAGTCTTCAGGGTCACCACAAATGGGACCGTCTCTTCGGGAGCAACCTCCCCTACTCTGGGACTCACAGATACCTGTTGATTTGATGAAAGGTTTTGGAGTTCCAAAGGGATGGGATAAGGTGGGATGTGATGGGAGTGGACAGGATGGGTCTTGGACTGTACACCTTCAGGTTCTGATTCCATAGGTACAGGGGATGCTCACCTCCCCGAAGTCTAGAGGTTTCAGCTGCCAAGAAAATACAATTGCCCCATTCTTGGAGATATTGTTGAGGAACAGCAGACGGCTACACTTGCTCTGCACAGGGATGTTTCCCAGGGAGATAGAGGACTGTGACAGGAAGACAGTCTGTTGAGAGAGACAGCATAATAACAACTTTGAGAGGGAAAGAATGAATAAGCATAACAACCAATACCAGTTACTAAGTCTTTCCACAGTCAGGTACCACGGTCAGTGCTCTATGTGCATTTGATCTTTACAATGATCCTAAGGTGTAGGTTCTACTATAGTCTCTCACTTGTACAATTGGTATAAAACCCAGACAGCCTCACTTTAGAGCCCATGTTTTTAACCTTTAAAACAGGTTTGGAAGGGCTGAGAGAATCCGAGTCAGTTTAGGGAAGAGAAAACTAAACCAGTGTAAGTAAAGTCTCTGAAGAATAATTAAAGGTGAATAGCTCACTCACGAAAGCTTTTGTGTTCTTCACTAGGCATAGAAAAGGAGCTGTACTGTATGAGTGTCTGAAAAGACTGAGATCACACAGAAGGGTCCTTTCCCTCCATCTAAACCCTGAGTATCTTCAGGAGAGAGGATTTGTTGGCCTCTTTCAACTTCAGGACCTAGAAAATGCTTATTCCTCAACAGGAGTCCAGTTAGTGTCTGAGTGGATGGATACACAGGTGGATGTCTGGATAGATAATGATTGGATCGGTAGGTGCAGGAATTATTGCTGTTAGCTGCCATCGAGTCAGTTCCAACTCACAGTGACCCTATGCACAAAAGAATGAAACACTGCCCTATCCTGCGTCATCCTCACACTTGTGACACTTGAGCCCATTGCAGTTGCGACTGTGCCAATCCATCTCATTGGGGGTCTTCCTCTTTTTCACTGATCCTCCTCTTCACCAACCATGATGTTCTTTTCTAGGGACTGGTTTCTCTTGCTGTCCTCATATCCAGAGTATGAGAGACAAAGTCTCACCATCCTACCTTCTAAGGAGTACTGCGATTATACTTCTTCTAACACAGACCTGTTTGTTCTTCCGGCAGTCCATGGTACCTTCAATACTGTTCTCCAACACCACAACTCAAATGCATCAATTCTTCTATGGTCTTCTTTATTCATTATCTGTCACATGTATATGAGGCTACTGAAAATACCATGACTTGGGTGATGAATGGGTGGATGAATATATGCATCAGTGAGCAGATAGTCGAATGCATAGATGGGTAGGTAGATGGATGTGTGTGAATAAAGGTGGATGTTATTGACCCTAGATGTCTCTCAGCAAAATCCATTCTGATCCAAGGAAGGGACTGTTATGTATAAAGGTAATACCTGAGAACTGTAAAACAGGAGTGCTTCTTTCTACCCCATCCAATAGCCCCATCCCAACTCCCATAGAAGGGGGCGGGGGTGATGAAAGCCCCGGGAGCAGAGCAGGTAGAATGGCATGAGCAGGAGCAGTAACGGGCACTAAGTGGCAGGGAAAACCTCCTGGGATTGTGCTGCCGCCTAACTCTAGAGAAAGTTGGTTCCAGGCAGTATCTCTGCAGCCTTCCCTTTCGACTCTGTTTTCCAGCATTCCCAGCCCTCTAGCTGCACCGACCACCTTGGACCTTCCCAGATCACTTTCCCCACCTGTCCAGGAATCATCAGTCTAGAGTATGTAGAGTTGTTGTCCAATGAGGAGATGTTGTGGAACGGAGCTGTGTCCCCCATGATATGGGGATCATAGCCTACTCCCTGGAAGTGGATGAGGGCCGAGTTCCATCCCAGGATATGTATGGGCACGTCCACCTGGGGAGTCAGCAGGGCGAGGGTAAGGGTTAATCAGACAAGGCCTCTTGTGGGAACCAATGCCCACTCCCCACCTCATAGTATTCCAAGCTGCTACTTACCGTGTAGGTCTTGGCCTCAATGGGTGAGAAGATCCACAAGACCTGAGCGGTTGTACCTGGCTGAATCTCGCCTTGGGGATTAAGGCAGCAGAAGATGGGGTGATCGAAGTTTTGGGCCTGAATCTGTGACAGGATATCGGTCTGGATCTCATATGTCACAGGCACAGAGCCCCCATTGTACAGCTCATAAATCTGTAGGGGGCAGAAATAGGGAACTCTCCACATCATTTCAGGGCAGCAATCCAGACAGCCTGGGGTTCTGTGTCCATTGCAAGAGGGCAGGTTGGCTCCATAATGCTACCTGTACCCTTTCAGAGCTTTCGAGGTCCCCTAGGCTCCCACCCCCCATTATTTGATCACTCCAGAAATATGTACACCTTATTTGAAACTATTTTCAGCCTGTGACATTTTAGGACAATCTATAATCTTATTTGTAAAAGAACACTTTATTTACTCTAACAAACTTATCTTTCTCAAGCTATGGTGGTGGTGGTTATGTGTCGTGGAGTTGGTTCCAACTCATAGTGACCCTGTATAGGGTTTCTGAGGCTAGAAATCTTTATGGGAGCAGAAAGCCGCATCTTTCTCCCACAGAACAGCTGGTAGTTTCGAATGGCTGACCATGAGATTAGCAGCCCGACTCATAACCACTATGATACCGGAGCTCCTTACAGGTATCTTAATGTTTGTGTCCTCAGTACTGGGATTTAAGGAAATGTCCAGGCACAGATCATCCAGACCTTTCATCATTTTATAGTCTCTTGCTCATATCACCTGTGAAGTTTCACTTTCCATGCTGCCATTAGGGGCAATCCTGCTCAATGGCAGGTAAGAAGGCGGAAGGTAGGTTTGAAATGCAGTAGAACTAAATCCAATGGTTGGGAACCACAGTTGTCCTGGAAGAAACCAGAGATCTTCTAGTCCAATCCCTCATTTTATAGATGACGCAAAAGAAGCCAGAGAGAATCAAGAGTTCATCAGAACTGAGTCCTGATGTGGCTGGCACTGTAGGATAAAGCGCTGGACCTCAAGGTAAGTTTGAACCTCAAAGTTGGTAGTTCAATCTCACCAGCCACTCCTTGGAAACCCTATACAGGATTGCTATGAGTCAGAACCAACTCAGTGGCACTTAACAACAAAAAAAGTATTGGATCATCTACTTTTCTCTGTAAACACTCAACTCAAAGGTCTGCTGATTGATCATATTTATCTGCCTGGACCACTCTTGTAAGGATCCAGACATTGTATCCACCTCTATGTGACAACTTCTCTTGGTTATCTCACAGGCATCTCAATCTTGGCAAAACCAAACTTCATGCCTCTAAACCCTATTCCTCCTCCCATTTTTCTCCTCTTAGAAAATGGCATCATGTATTCTGAGTGCCTTCTCCCTTTGCCTTCCCATATTCAATCTCTAACAAGTCCCAGTGATTCTGCTGCCACGATAGATACTAAATCTCCTCTCCTCTCTATTTCCAAAGCCCTCTCATAGGCTCAGACCGTCATTAACTTTTCATCATCTCATGTATGAAAAAGAAAGCTTAGACACCATTGTGACATTGGGGTGGTGCCACAACTAGATTTCTTGACTACAGGTCTGGGACATTTCCTACTGACTGTGTTGTTAAGTGCCTTCAAGTTGGTTTCCACTCACAGCAACTCTATACAGGGTTTGCGAGGAACGACTGGTTTCCTGACAACTGGTTAGAAGTCTAGTGCTTATCCCAGGACTTCTATTGCCTATACGCGTAGCCAAAGGGAGGTGATCTCATTGGAAAGCTTGCCCAGATCACAAAAGTCTTTGCCTTCCTTTTATAGGACCTGAACTTCTGTAGGTCTAGGGGTGCCCAGCCTCAAGACAAGGCAGCTAGGAAGCCAGCTGGCATGTATAGGGAAGTGGACATAGGTCAGGGATAGCATCTACTCTTGGTTTCCCTGCCGGTAGGCTAAATGGCCAGAGGCCCTGCTCAGAAACACACAGGGCTTCCAAATGGGTAGAAATTCCACAGTTGTGAAATATCTGGGAACTATTCTGCCACTTGCTTGGACATGTCCAGTGTACATTTTCAGAGCAAAGGAACCCAATTCTCTCCAGTTAATGAAGAAGTAAAGTTCTACCGCTTCCCTAGGGGTCATAGTCTGGCTCTTCTCCCTCTAGGAAAGTGTTCTTGGAGCAATGTTTTTCAGTTTGTGACTGAGACCTATTAGTGAACGAGTCACAGACCCAGCATTGAAATAATGGAACAGATTTTTTTTTTTTTAATAAAGAGAAGATCAGCATACTTTGCATATAGTAGCTAAAGTATGAAGTCCCTAGGAGGTACACATGGTTTGAGTTCAACTGCTAAAGTGGTTTGAACACATCCAGAAGTACCATGGAAGAAAAGTCTGACGATTGCTTCTGTTAAGCTTGCAGCCAGAAAAGCCTAGGGAGCATTTTTACTGAAAGTGGAGTGGGCTCACCAAGAGTCAGAATGGTTTTGACAGCAATGAACAACACAGCTTACGATTTGCTCTATCATATGTGCATTTAGATTCTGGGTCATAATCTAAAATATACTAGTGTAGTTCATGGTCTGAGGAGTTTGAAGAACTGCGCTTCGAAGGAAGAAATCCTACTTTTGCATGGAAACTAGGCCTGGTACTGGTCTTAGTAGCAGGCAACAGGGACGCAGGTCTCTGACCTTGGGTCTTTCCCATCTGCCTGGTTCACGGGTCCATCTACCAGCCCCACCTCTTATAGTGGGGGCTCCTAGAGAGCAGGGTTGCTGACACCTTGTTAAGGGCTGACTGAGAAGCACAGACATCACCAGGCTCTGCCTCAGACTTTGTGGTGACCAGGAAGATGCAAACCACTGACCTGTCGTGGGGGCAGCGTGTCACCGATGGGGACAGGGACAAACTGGTGGTTAGTGGAGGTGAAGTGCACATACTTCTTCCCCAGCTCCACTGTTACACCTATGAAATTGAGCTGGAAACACAAAGTCCAATGAGTCGAATCCTGGCCCGAGAGGAAGTGATGTTCCCCACAGAGAGATCTCACGCCCAGCTCCCTGGGGTGGGGGTGGGGGTGCACCGCTTCCTGCTCCCTTCTGCCACTCAGGGAGCCCCCTCTCCTCTAGCCTAAGACCCAGGGCAGGACCAGGGTGCTGGGGCCTCACCAGGATCTCCCGGCCATGGGACACCTTGAAGAGCACCGGGAGACGATCCGTGCCAATGAACATGTGGCTGGAAGGGAGGAGATAGTTCAGGGGCAAGTTCTTGAACCCAGAGAAAGTAGGTGAACACATACCATGCCATGCCTGTGGTTCTGAGTAGGCTAGCCTCCTAGGAGCCACAATAGGACATGGCGGGTGGGGGGAATTCAACTAGGCCTGAAACATCCCTTATAGGTGGGTAGCTGAAGTCCACCCAGAGTGGTAGCATGGCTAACATTTTAAAAATGCTGGGGCCCCATGGTCCTGGAGGTGCAGGGCAGAGGTTGAGGAGGGCACCTATATTTGAACTCCACCACTTGTTCCTGCCCAGGACTCAGGCTCCCGGCCTTGGGGCTGATGGAGAAAAGGCAGTTGTCCTGCACACGCATTTGGTGTAGCTCAGCGCAGTTAAACTCTGCTTGCTCTGCCCACAGCTCCAGGTTGATCTGCTGGTCACTTGGAAACAGGAAGGCCCTGGGAGAGAGGTGGGGAATGGGGCAGTGAAATCATGTAAAGGATAGAGAAGAGCCCTCCCTTACTCCACCCCCCAACAGCAAGCTAGGCAAATGTGGCTTTGTTCATTCTCCTTTCCTGTTGGCACCCAAACCTGTGAACAGAGCAGAGTCACAGCAATGGATAAGAAGTAAAGGTTGGGGCTCTCATTGTGGGTGCCAGGGGATAAGAGAGTCACTGTTACATGTGGATCCCTGTGAGCTGGGCACTGACCCTGAAGGGATTTCTGTGCTGAATCTTGGGAAGGGATCAGCCGAGGCTCCAAGAAATGCCATCAGCCCCAGGAGGGGGTTCCTGAGAGGGCGGGTGCTCAGGCCAGCTTGGGGACAGGAGCAAAGGACAGACATTCTAGCATACAGGCACTCCTGAAACAAGTAGGATTGTGTGTATAATTGTTGTTGTTAAGTACCGTTGCATTGGTTCCGACTCATAGCGATCCTGCCTAGGGTTTCCAAGGAGCAGCTGGTGGGTTTGAACCACCAGCCTTGCTGTTCAAGCCGACCTTGTGGCCGAGTGATTATCCTTTAGTGCCATCCGAGAACACTGCAGATACTGCACTCTAAATAGCTGATGAAACTTGAGAGAACAGATGCCTTCAAACATAGCTAGGGAAAGAGGAACTGCTATGGCCTTTTGGAAGGAATATTGGCAGCATCAGTTAAAATAAAAGATGCATATTCACTTTGATTCAAACATCCCACTTTGAGGAACTAACCTGCAAAAACAAAAGCCCATGTGTGTATATACACACACCACACAGGATATTTATCACAAATTTCTGTGTAGTGAAACCAGCCAACCAACAACTGGAAACAAATAATGTCTACCAATTAAACAGTAGGTTAATTACCACAGGTCCATCCAGATGATGTAGTCAGGTGTGGGTGAGTCAACTCTAACTCATTGCAACCCCATGTGATCAACGGGACTGCCCCATGGGGTTTTCTAGGCCGTAATCTTTATGGGAGGGGGTCATCAGATCTTTCTTCTGCAGAGCTATTGGGTGAGTTCAAACTGTCAAACTTTCAATTAGCAGCGAGTGCCTAACTTCAGGGTTCCTTTATATTATGGATTATTATGCAACTATTAAAAATAGTGAATTAGGTGGAAATAATTCAAGTATCAATAGACATTTGGGTAAACAAATTATACATACTACAATGGAATATTATTCAACCATAAAGAGAGATGGAGTCCTGATGAACACGCTATGACATGGATGAGCCCTAAAAACATTATACTGAATGAAATAAGCCAGACACACAAGGACACGTAGTGTCTGATCTTATTGATACAGAATATCTAGAATAAGCAAATACATGGAGACAGAAGTTGATGAGTGGTTAGCAGGGATAGGTAGGAGGGGCACTCAGTTTCTGCTGTGGTGATGGAAACATTTCGAACTAGACCATGGTGAGGGCAAAACAGCATGAGGAATCTCATTAATGTCCCTGAATTGTACACATAAAAATGATTGAAATAGAAAATGTTATATCTATTTTACCATAATAGGAAAAAAGAATGAGTCTGATGTATTGATCTGCAGTGATCTGAAGAGAATGTTACTGATAGAATTTGGAGTGAAAATGTTTTTCAGGAAGCAGTATGTATAGTATTGTGCTATGCTGTAAAATAGGAGTCCTGGTGTGGCACTGCGGGTTAATGAGCTGGAATGCAAAGTTGGTTTGAACCACAAGCTCCTCAGAAATTCTATACAGGGTTGCTATGAGTCAGAACCAACTCGACTACACTTAGCAACAACATACTGTAAATACAGTAAAAGAAAGAGAAAAAACATAACCTTGTAAATGTGTTTGTATGTCCTAGGGGGGCTGGGAAGGGTATGGAGAGTATGCTCCTATCCTTGGTCACCCCCACAGTGTGTGGGAGGGATCTGGGGAGCCTCTCCTTTTTCTTCCATCACCCCTGTATCATGTCACTTGTGATGTGGTGAATATACTGTTTCATCATTGTATTGGGGCATACTGATTAGTGGGCAAAATTGGAGCTCTTGCTCCTTTGGGGGTCCTCCAGACAGTTTCAATGCCTCCTTTGCCCTCACCTTCTGCATCTAGTCTTTCCATCCCCCTTTCCGTGTCAGCCCTCTGGTGTGGACATCCCAACCCCATCAGGATGTTTGCAGCAGCCCTCTTACCTCAAGCCTTGGTTTACCACTAGTCCAACCTCCCTTAGTGGGCCGAGTGACAGATCTTGAAAGTAGATCATGTTCTTGTCCCCCCACCCCCCATCTTAAAACCCACCCATGCCTACAGGAGAAGTACAAATGATCAGGGGAGGTCCCTCACCTGGATGGAGCCATGGTGGTACAGTGACTAAGCACTCAGTTGATAGTTGACAGATTGGCAGTTTGAACCCACTGGCCACTGTGCCAGAGAAAGACGTGACAGTCTGTTTCCATAAAGATTTACAACTCCAGAAACCCTACAGGGCAGCTCTACTCTGTCCTATAGGATCACAATCCGCTCAACAGCAAGGGGTTTGGTTAAGATTTACTCAGTCCTGAGGTCCCCAGGTGGCGCAAGAAAAGGTTTGGCAATCTGTTTCCATTATGATTTCAGCCAAGAAAACCCTATGGAACAGTTCCACTCTGTTACACATGGGGTCGCCATGACTTGACTATAACTAACATGAAGCCTGGCCTGGCCCCTGCCCCTCCCCCAGCTGCCCTGCCTCTCCGCGATCCCCCTGTCTGCCCTTCTCTGTCACTATGCACACACCGGGTCATCTGTCAGCAGGGCCAGTCCACACTGCCCCATTCATCAGGCTAATGACACACCAGGATGCAAGTAAAGCTTTCTCCAGAAGTCCTTCTGAAGCGCCCACCCCCAACACTTCCAGAAGAGAGTGCAGAGCGCGCCCCCTAGTGGTACTCAGCACAGTTCACCATCTCAGAAAGACGAGAGGGGGCCGGCAGAAGTGAGGTCCACAGCCTGCATCTGGGAAGGACCCAGTAAAGGTCTGCCCACTGAACAAGTGAACAAACAACATTCATGCAAGGCCCTGCATCTCTCTGGGCTTTGGAAAGAGGTGTTCAGGAGGGAGTGGGACAGCTGTGAGGTTTCCCCACTCTCTTGCCTCTTGGGTTCTCACTCTGTCCTGCCTGCTGTGCCTCCAGGCCAAAGCCACACACACCCCTTTTCTTGCTGGCTTTGGCAGGAACAAAACCCTCACTCTGTTCTTTATGAGCTCAGCAGAGGAAGAATTTTCAAAAATAGCCTTCTAAGAAATTGAAAGAAAACATAACACAAAAAGGATAGGAGGGGCCAGCTTTCCAAGGAAGGCTCCCTCTGCTCAGAATCCTGGAAGCAGCACGAACCTCCTTCCTGAGCCTCAAACCAGCTCCTGATGGATGAGCCAATTCAGCCGTCACGCTGCCCAGATCTCCTCCCACCTCAGTGGCCAACATCTGGACTCTCTCCACAAAGCAATTGGAGCCTCAGCCCACCAGAACACACCTACTCTGTTCCAGAACACAAGCCAACACTCCCCACCCAAGACCTACAGAACCTGACTCCTGGTCCATTCGAAGAGCCCCAGTGAATGGCAGACTCAGAGCACAAGGCAGGACGGGGACCTTCCCTAGCCAGGCTAGCAACCCCGCCAGAAAGAAGGAGCCAGTTCCCCCCTGTCCCTCTACCACAGGGAGCCGTGGAACAAGCCAGAGTAAGAAGCCACCCTCCTTCACCTTCATCCTGGCAGCCCCCAAGACTCTCCTGAGGCAGGAAGGTTTCTAAGATGATGGGGTACTCCCACCCTGCATATCCTCATTCTCGTCCATTCCTGGCGTGCCCTCTCCCCAACCTGACCCAGAGGAGGCTACTTCTTTTTCACCTCTGTTGAATCAAGCAAAGTTGGAAGCCACCAAAAGGAAGTTTACTAGGAAATCAAAGCGCATGGCAGAGGCAGGGAAGAAGGACAAGAACATCCCTGGCACTGCGTTCTGTACCCCAGTGGGAGGAAAGTCGAGCAGAGGACGGTCCAGCTGGCAGCTCAGTCTTCCAGGACTGGACTGGAAAGGCTGAAGCTACTGGGGACAGTCAGAGATCTGTCTGGCCAACCTGGATCCTTTCTGCAGCCCCATGAAGCTTTGCTCTGCTGTGGCCCTTGTCTTCCACCCCTCCCCCAGCCCTCCCCCAGTCTGGGCCTGACTCCCACTGAACTGGGACTCCGTCCATCAGGCCCAGCACCTAGCCCAGCACATGGTACACAGGAGCAGTTTGCCATTTCCTTGCTGTCTAACTGGTTTAGGAGCGTACAATAACAACAACAAAATCAAACTCGCTGTTGGTGATTCAACTGTGACTTAGCAACCCTCTAGAACAGAGGACAGCTGTCCCATGGGATTTCCAAGGCTGTAAATCTTTATGGAAGCAGATTGCCACATCTGTCTCCCTCAGAAAAGCTGGTGGCCTTCAACTGCTGTTGGTTAGCAACTAAACATTTGACCACTGCACCACCAGGGATCCTTTAGGGAGTTCTATCTGGGCTGCTGGAGTCCTGGTGTGGCGCTGTGGGTTAATGCAGTTCCAGCTCACCAGCTGCTCCTTGGAAACCCCATACAGGGTCACTATGGGTCAGAACCAACTTGATAGCACTTAACAACACCAACAACATTTGGGTTGCTAACCATAGGGTTACCAGTCTCTCAGTGGGAAAAAGATAAGACTTTCTGCTCCCATAAAACTTTACAGCCTTGGAAACCCTACACAGGGCTTCTATGAGTCAGAACCAACTCAACAGCAGAAAACCACCACCACCACCACCCAAAACAATCAAATCCACTGACACCGAGTAAATTCTGACTCACAGCGACACTCTACAGGATTACTGAGACGATACATCTTTATAAAGAGCTCTGGTAGCGTAATGGTTACGAATCGGGCTGCTAACCTCAGGGTCAGCAGTTTGAAACTACCAGCTATTCCGTAGGAGAAAGATGAGGATTTCTGTTCCTGTAAAGATCTACAGCCTCGGAAACCCTGTACAGGGTCGCTATGAGTTGGAACCGATTCCATGGCACATATCGACAACAACAACAATACATCTTTATGGGAGCAGACAGCTTCCTAGTTCTCCCTCAGAGCAGCTGGTGGTTTGAACTGCCAACCTTGCAGCCCAAGGCCTATCCTACCAGGACTCCTAAAATGGGATAAATCTGGGTTTGAAGCTGGGAGGGGCAAATGGTTAACGAACTGAAAACTTGGAAACCAAAAGGTTGGACTCTTGAGTCCACTTGGAGGCACCTTGGAGGAAAGGTCTGGCCATCTACTTGTAAAAAAATCAGCCATTGGAAAACCTGATGGAATACAGTTCTCCTCTGACACACATGGGGTCACCATGAGTCAGAATCAAGTGCATAGCAACTGGCTTCTGCCATCACTAGCTCTGTGGTCTTGACCTCACTGATCTTCAGTCTTACCGACTATGAAAGAGTCAGGAGAGGAGCATTTTTTAGAGGATCAATGTGAGAATTGGAGGAGAAAAGATGAAGCACGGGCCCTAGCTTGTTGCAGATGCTCAGTGAACTTTTCTTATTCGTTGAGGTATCATGGTGACTATGTCCTTAGAAGGGTTACCAAGCATTTATGGGCCTATGGACACATTCCAGCCAGTGATAGGTTCCAGGTCCTGAGAAAACAGCCGCTACATAGCTTCCCTACTTGGTGACCCCAGCCCACCACTGGCCTCCTTAATCCCATCAGTGAGAACCACCGGGCATCTGAGTTTCCTTCAACCAGAGAAGGTGACTTTCCACCCTCCCAGCTTCCGTACCTGTCTCCTGACCCTCACACCCCCTCCAGGCAGCCTTACCAGTCCAAGGGCACCACCCCGGTGTTCTTCAGGGCCAAGAGCACCACAGAGGGCGGAGCCTCAAGTGGCGCAGCTCCAAAATTAAAGTCCAGCTTCAAAGGGGTGAAGACCGGGGGGATCTGGCTTGTGCTGTTTAAACAAAGCAGAGAAACAGGTTCAGATAGTCAGTAAGCAGGGATGGGGACGGGATGGGACCTTCCAGGCCTGACTGGTTTAGGTATCCACCCACACAGGTGGGAACTGGAGAATCTGGGACTTGGGGGGAACAAGGAGGCCAACACACCAGACCCCAACCCAAGTCCTTCAGGGATAGGCAGGAATTTGGAGGTCCTTCTTCTCCAGAGATGGGGAGCCACTGTTGGACAGAGTGTGGCTCTGGGAATGCAGATAGAAAGCGGCAAGAACTTTATTGACAGGTCAGCTCACCTGTGCCGGGTGGGCACCTTGTAGGTGAGCTCCCAGGGGGTAGGGCTGCGCTGCAGGTAACTGTTGAGCATGTCCAGGGAGAAGAGGCGCCACAGATGCTTCCGTGCAATGCCCTCAGCACTGCCCATAGCGCAGATGTCCAGGATGGAGAGTAGTGGATACACGGCAGTCAGAGAGATCCGACATAGCTCCTGCTTCTCCCCTACCTTCTTATCTGGGGAGGAGATGCGGAGGAGAGCACCAGGCTGCTCCCAGCCCTGGTGGGCTGCGCCGGCTGGGAGTGCTGAACCCCTGGGCAATCTATCCCCGGTCCCAGCCACAACAGCCAACCCAGGCCTGGAACTTTCTATGTGCCGGGTACTGCCCTCCATGCTTTGTTCACATAACTATATTGAATGTGCACAGCTAGCTTTCTCAAATGAATATTTTAAGTTATGGCTTTATTGGGGAATAATTTCCATACCATAAATTTCATGCAATTCAAGTGTACAATTCAGGGATTTTCAGAACATTCATGGAGTTGTGTGACTGTTACCCTAATTTGAGATTATTTTCATCACCCCCAAAAGAAGCCAAATACCCATTATCTATCATTCCCAAGTCCCCTTCTCCCCAGCCCCTGGCAACTGCTCATTTATGTTCTGTTTGAACAGATGTGCCCTTTCTGGACACTTCACAGCAACAGAATCCTGAACATGTGGCCCTTTGTGTCTGGCTTCTCTGACATACTATCACGTTCTCAAGGTTCATGCATGTTGTGGTATGTCTCCAAACTGTTCGTTGCTGTGTGCTGTTATTATCCCCATTTTATTGATGAGGAAACTGAGGCACAGAGAGGTGAAGCAACTTGATAAGATTATGTGACTAATAAACACTAGAGACAGGATCTGATCCCAGACAGTCGGGCTCTAAGAGTCCACAGCCTTAGTCCTGGCTCTATGCAGTGCTAACAGCAGAGGGCAGTACCAACCACTGGGCTGGCTCTCAACAAGGCTATTTACATATGGGAGACTGAGATCCAGGGAGGCTTAAAACTGGTCCAAGATCACACAACAAATCTATAGGGTAGCCCCTAACCCTTCACAATGAGCCATCCACAGCTCAGTCACACATACAGACAGACACACCCACAGACAGAGAGGGTGTGTGTGGTACATGCACCAGACACCAGACAAGGTGGGTTTTTGCACACTTGACTCTCAACAACCTTCACCCCACTTCATGCAGTGCTCCTGCACCCTCCTGTCCCCTGGCTGTCTGACTCTGTACTCCAGGTGAGGTGGCCAAGGTACCTCGGTGGGAGAGAAGCAAGTAGCTGATGGTCCAGGAGTACTGGGCCTGCTGCTTGGGGCAGGCAATCAGGTTGATGTTGTCCTGGGACCAGGGTGGCATGCTCCCCTCTGTCCGTTCCAGCTGCAGATCTACTCAGGGATGACCCAGGACGTGGGAGGGAGGGATGTATCAGGAGACAGAAGAGGATGTCCTGCCCCTCCTCCCTGGGTCAACAGAGTGTGGCTGGAAGCAGACCCTGAGCCCGGACATGGGGAACAGTCCCTCTGCCACCAAAGGCAGAAGGACCATTCTTCTTAGCATCACTGGTACTTTTCTCCACCAAAATCAAAACTAAATCCAGTGCCTTGGAGTCAATTCCAACTCCTTATGATTCCATAGGATAGAGTCGAACATCACCACTGGGTTTCCAAGGCTGTAAATCTTTACAAAGCAGACTCCCACCAACCTTTCAGCTAGCAAGGTGCCACCAGCAATCCCGTCTCAGAGATGAGGAAGTGGAGACTCAGAAAGGAAAGTCACCTGCTCAGTATGCCACACTTCTAGGAAGCAGAAGCTCCAGGTTCTTAAACCCTGACCCTAAAAAGCCTGTGTCTACCATGTCCTGGTCCCAGTCTGAGTACCAAGGGCATCGTTGCTGACGACCTCAGGGCTGGACTGCTCCAGGAACAGGCGGTAATACACGGTGCAGTTGCCATTGTTCAGCAGCACCAGCAGTGTGGACTGCTTGCTGTTCACCTGGACGCTCCCGAAGTCCAGCTCCTGCTCCTTCGCCTGGGGGCCAGAGTCAGTTCACAGCCCCGTTCTCCCACCCCTGGTCACAGGACAGCACAGGTGCAGGGCTCTGACCCCAACGTCCTGCCCTCCTGGAGTCAGACACCCTGGGGCCTTCTCTCCCACCCCCACCCACCAGGGCTCTCCCACTCACAGAGAGGCTGCTGGTGATGCCCAAGCCCACCAACCGCAGCATGTAGTGGGTGGTGGTACGGGGCTTGGTGTCTGGGGGCAGGCCTGCTTCCCAGACCCACATCCCCACTCGGAACAGGTACTTCATCTCTTCCAAAGGACTGAAGATCCACGTCAGGGTCTGGGGTCATAGAGGCACTCCCTGAATGGGGGTCTCCTGGAAGCCTGCTCCAAGCTTCTAGCCCTCTGTGGTCCCACTACAGGGTTTAAGCCCCTTTCTGAGTGTCTACCTGTCCCAGACACTTTATTGTCTCTAAGCCCCACACTCTCATACCCCCAAGAGGTAAGTGCTATGGTTCTCATGCCTTATTTTCTGATGAGACACTGAAGACTCAGAGAAATGCGGTGACTTGCCCAAAGTCACACAGCAGTGAGGACTGGAGCTGCGTCATGGACTTTCAGAGTCTCTGCCACCTCTTGCCTCCCCAGGACCTCCCCTTTGGGCTCTTACAGACACTTTATGATGCTGGTTCTTTCCCAAGTTGGGCCTCCCTAACTAGTCTAGAAGGCCTTAGACCAGGGATGAGATCTGCCATCTTGGGGGCCAACTCTTGTCCTTCTTCAGACTGCCACTGACACCTCTGGGAGTCTGTTCCTCATCCCACAGCCATCATTTGGCTCCAAACCCAAGTGCTCTGAGTCATCCTTCCCCATGACTTTACAGCTTTAGGGATGATTATCAAGAATGGACATGCCCAGGGTCTTAGCTCTGTTTCTCCTAGCGTAGGGCCTTAGTGCATGGCTTTTGCTCTCCAAATCGCAAATCTTCTTTGTGAGAAGGAGGCGAGGGTGGTGGTAATAACAAAGCCTACTCATGAGACTGGGAGGTTAGTGGGGACTGTGGATGGAATGGCAGGGTGCACATACCAGGCCTGGACCATGGTTGGCACCCTTTCCTCCAGCCCCAAGCTCTGGGGGAGGGCACTCACAATGTTCTCATTGGGTTGGATGAGACTGCGGGCAGGCTGGACAGCCAGCATCTTGCAGTTCTGCTCAGAGACCCTCCATTCGAACTCCAAGGGCAGACGTGAGGGATTACTCAGGGTAACGGGACTGGTGGAGGAGCTGCCCACCCAGGTGGGCTTGAAGAAGACGGTCTGACAAGTATCCAGCCTTAGCTGCAGTGGCTCCTCGCGGCTCAGCAAGCTCACCTCCTGGAACCAGAGGGAGGAGAGATGGTGCTCTGACCTCACACTATAGCCCAACGCCCCCAAATACCTAGGAAGACTCTTCAGGCCTGGGCATGGGCAGTGTCTGTCAAAGGCAGAGTGGGCAGGGACTGATGCAGAGTGTGGTTCTTGGAAAAGACCCAGGGACTGAGAAAGAACATAGAGACCATTTCAAGGGGCCAGATGTGGGTTCTGGACCTCTGGTCTGGCTCTAACTTTCTAAACAACCCTCACCAATAGATGAGTCTTGGTTGTCCCCCAGATCCTTACATTGGGAAACCCTGCACTTCTTGTCCTGGTCTCAGGTCCCATGAGGTGGACAGGCAGAACCTGAGGGGTTATCTTCCCAGAGGGACAGTAGCGCCTTCGCTCCTTTAAGAGCGCTTCAAGGCCAGCTCCATCATGTGGTTTTGCAAAGGGCCCCCACTCCCAAGGACTCAGCTCCCTACCTTGAGATACTGGGGGCAGGAGTTGAACTGCAGGTAGAAAAGGTGCTGCTTCCAGGAGTTACCCTTGGGGTAAGTGCAGATAAGGAAGATCTGGTGGGCTCCAGGGGCCACTAGACCTGAGCTGGGTCGCAGGATGACATCTGGGCTGCTTTTGGGGACCAGACTGAAGGTCAGTAACATGGGGCCTTTGTTGAGGAGGAGCAGACTGCGGTAGGAGGGCTCCCCGGGAGGTACGGCAGGAAACAGCTGGGGGTTGGAGTAAAGAACAGAAGAAGCCATGTTCACATCCCCACGTCTCCCCAGAAATGTGTGTGGACCTGGACAACAATACCCCAGGAGTGAGGAAATCTGGTACCAGGGAATGCTTCTGTTCTCCCGAGACCCTCAAACAGCAAGGGCAAATGACCACAGAAGTAGGCCCTTGGTAACTCAGGCCTTCAAGACCCTTCCTTAAGGTTGTAGTAGCAATTTTTTTCCTTTTAGTGTATATTCTAATCATTTTCTGGAGGACCCATTTCAGAGTTCCTGGTATAGAAGCTCTGGGGTAAGCAAGCCCTTCTAGATGATTCTGATGCAGTTAGCTGAGGGGAGCCCCGCTTTGAGAAGGGAAATCCACATTAAGGATAGACCAGCACTTGACTAGTGCTGAATAGGCTATAAAGCACAAAGGCCCACTCCCTGACCCCAGTTCCCATCCAGCTATAGCATCCTCCTGGCTGTGTGGGTCAGCCCAGGAGCCACTGAAGAGGGTAAAGGAGCTGGCCAGAAGACCCTGGAGGACCTTGATGTCAGGGGCTGTAAATCCTTGGAGTGTGGTGGTTGGGAATGCAGGGCAGAAGTGTGGCTGGTGGGGGGAGCAGAGCGTTTCACCCTCCAGCGATTTTCCAACACTGTGATGAAAAAACTGGTGTGGGGCTGAAGGGAGCTGGGAGGAGGCATGGAAGGTGAAGTCAAAGTTGGCAGTCAGTTGGCTTAGGTTGGAACTCTGGTCTGTGCTTTTAAGTCCTAAGCAATCCTTCTATTGGGTCAGGTAGGGCCTCCAGAGAGACCATTGGGATAGGCATTGGAATTATGACTCCTTCATAAGGAGCCCTGGTGGCACTGTATGTTAAGCACTGGGGTGCTAACTACAAGGTAAGAGGTTTAAACCTCCATGAGAGAAAGATGAGGCTGTTTGCTCCCATAAAGATTTACAGTCTCCAAAGCCCTATATAGGGTTGCTCTGAGTCAGAATTGACTTGATGGCAGTGGATTTGGTTTGGGGTATTGAAGGAGGGAACTAAGCTAAGAGCTGAGAACTCTCAGGGGTGTGGTTCACTGTGTGAGTGTTGTCTCCCTGGGGCCTAGTCCAGGGCCTGGGGTCCCAGGCACTCAGTGAACGACGCAGTCCAATGAAGGTGGTGGAGTTTTCAGCGTAAGCTCAAGAAGACCAGATGAGTTTCAGATGGAGCAGGGAGGAGCCAGCTATCCAGCCTCTGGACTGCTGGACCATTCATGTCCTCTTCCAGCCCCTGAACCTGTCCCAGGAAAGAGCCCTTGGCTGGCTCAGAGCCCAGGGACTAGCTAGGGAGGCTGGGCTGGCCAGGGAGTGGGTGGGAATGTGTTTCTGAGACCAGTGGGAAGAGGGGAGGAATCTGCGGGCCAAGGTGGAAGTGGGGCTCCTGGCTACCAGGGGGGTCATGCTCACCTTGGGGGCATCCAGGGAGTATTGGGGGATGTGATGCTCGGAGTCAGCATAATAGCTGTGGCCTTGAGCCCGCAGTGTCAGGCACCAGGATGGGCACACTGTGCAGTCCACCTCTATGTTACTGTAGTTCCGTAGGACCTGGGGGTCAGAGCCCAGGAGACAGCTCAGAGTCCTGGAGGTGGCCCTGGGGGCACCCATCCTGCCCCCATTCTGCAGGAGTATCCACTGGGCACAGTTGGAGAACTTTCCCCAGGAAGAAAGCCTGCAGGATGACCCTAACACGGCCCTCACGCGTGTTCCAGGCCCTGCTCTGGGACTTCAGCAAACTCTCTTGAAAGCTCACAACAGTCCTGGGGGAGGGTGGGGCTGGGCCAGAAGGGCAGACGTGAAGGCAGCATTCATTCATGAGGAATGTGTCTTGAGAAGTGCTGTCCAACAGAAATGTAATGCGGGCCATGATGCCAGACGCCAACATCATTGTAAACCTGCCAGTAGCCACAGGAAAACACGTGAGCTTAATTTCAATAATGTTTATATTTAACCCAATGGATCAAAATATGATGTTCACATGTGATCATTATGTAAAAATTAGGTAGGCGTGACATGATGCATTCTTCTTTTCGTACTAGGCCTGCGAAGTCCGAAATCTGGTGTGTACTTTTCACTTACAGCACTTCTCAATTGGGATCAGTTGCTTTTCACATGTGGCTGCTGTCTACTGTCTGGGACTGCACAGGTATAGAGTCTGTAACCTAAGAAAAGCCCAGTTGTCCCTAAACCTTATTCCTGCACATCTCCAGCTGCTAAGATGCTAGAATGGAGCCAACAGAAGGAAGTTATGCAACCCCCTTCAAAATTTCAAATATGACCCCAGTTGTATAGATGGAAAGACTAGGGCTCAGAGACATTGAACAGCTTGGCCAGGGTCATGTTGTTGCTGTTGTTAAGTGCTGTCGAGTTGGTTCTGACTCATAGTGACCCTGAACAGGGTTTCCAAGGAGTGGCTAAGAAGTTCAAACCAACCTTGTGTCCAGTGTTTATCCTACAGCGCCACATCAGGGCTCTGTTGTTGCTGTTGTTAAGTGTCGTTGAGTCTGTTCTGACTCATAGAGACTCAGTATAGGGTTTCTGAGGAGTGGCTGGTAAGCTTGAACCACCGACTTTGTGGTTCAAACTGACTTTGCAGTCCAGTGCATTAACCCACAGTGCCACCCCAGGGCTCCTTGTAAGGATTACAGTCTAGGAAACCCTATCAGGCAGTTCTGCATTGTCTTCTAATCATACCTGGAGATGAGGCAGAAGAGAAGCAGACACACACAGCCCAGACTAAGAGACCATGCCGGGCTGGAGGAACCCCTCGCCAACACTACCCCCAGGTTCTACTCCTGCCCACTGCAGTCATAACTCCTTTGGAGGGACCACTTTTCCCACTTCAGAGTCTGGAGGATACACCAGCTGGGAGCCTTAGGGAGTCACTCCCTTGTGTGCTAAATCTGACCGGATCTGAGTTCTCCCTTTAGAGAGGGTGGAGAATGAAACATAGTCAGATGGGCCCAGAAATCTGGCTGAGGAAGGCCGGGAGTCTGGAAGAAGGCAAGGGGATGGAGAAAAACCTGACATAGTGCAGCTAAGTCCTCACAGTGCCCCCTCTTCCTCCCCATCCTAATCTGGCATTCAGGGGCTGGGGGCAGACAAACCCACTCCCCTCTCCACAGAAATACCTTATAGACAGCAAAGGCTTCCAGCTCCACTGAGTACAGGCAGTTGGGGTGTGGTGGCTGGAAGTGCAGGCGTAGGGCAGTGGACTTGAGCGGGGGCACATCGCAGGTGACTGGGCTCACCCAGAAGGGACAGTCAGGCCTACGTGTCCAGATCACGGTGATCTTGCCCTTAGTGTGGTTTACCAGGTACAGGGGCACGGGGCTGGGGGTCTTAGGCTTGGGACAGGCACCAAAGTCCACCTCCAAGGGCTCTATGCTGACAGGTGGGGGGAACACGGTCATGTCTCTGGTGCCGTCACAGAAGTACTCAGTCATGGGAGGAATGGCAGGGTACTGTTGGGGTGGCTTGTTCTCCAGGTCCTGTGTGGGAAGATGGGTGGGCTGGGGTCCACTGTTCCTCACTGCCCCTCTTCCACACAGGTCCCCCAACCCCCACCCAATTCCCAATGGTGTCTGCAGGGCTGTGGGGCAAGCCTTACCCTATCTATGCTAGAGAAAGGGGCCAGGACCTGAGGAGGGGATAGAATCTGCCTCCGGGGGGCTCAGAAGGGTCTGCCCATACCTCGTTGGGGATCATGAGAGCCCCATTCTTATCCTGCTCCAACTTATTGTCCTTCAGCATGCTGCCCAGGATGTCGGGAGGATAGAGCGTCAGGCCCCGTGCCAGGTGTGTGCGGTACCAAGTGAGGTGCTGGGGCCTTAGGCTGACTGGCTTATCATTGTCCGAATGACAGGTCCCGAGCAGGTCCAGGAAAACTGGATCCTGCGATGGTGTGAGAAACAGGGCATGGGAGGAGGAAGCAGTGGTGGTGGTGGTTACACGCTGTGGAGTCGGTTCCAACTCATAGCGACCCTGTACAGGGCTTCCAAGGCTGTAAATTTTTATGGGAGCAGAACGCCTCATCTTTTTCCCATGGAACATAGCTGGTAGCTTCGAACTGCTGACCTTGCAGTTGGTAGCCCGATTCATAACCACTATGTTACCAGAGCTCCTTGGAGGTACTGACATAGAACTGAGGACAGAAGAGGGGCAGAGGCAGCAGGGCTGTCGGCTGAGTGAGCATCTCAACAGCGGCCGGATCAAGGAGCCAGGGGAAGGTCAGGACCTAGACCAGCAGCAGTCCTCTGGGGCACGCACGGGGCCGCAGCACACTCTTCACCTCTGCTCTTGGTCATTCTATTGCCCACCCTATTGTCATCCAAGAGACCTTTGAAAGCAGGGATAATGTCTTCAAGTTTTCCCTGCTCTGTGTCCTTTCCTGCTACCCCAAGGCCTGCCCGCCATATTGCGCCCTCACAAACATTGGGGAAAGCCCCTTCCTCCGGGAAGACCGATGTAGCCCAGAGTCTGGGCACACTGCTCAGGGCAAAGGCTTTCCCATTTGTTCCCTGGGCTGGACCCGTCAGGGCAGTTTGTACAGCCTTACCCAGGGGCCTGGGTTGGGAGCCTAGTGTCAAGGCCATCTGATAGATACATGTTGCATGAAGTAAGGCCTAGACCTCCCTCTCCCCTGCCAAACAGCAGCAGCAGAAACACCCCTGACTGGGCAGCAGTCAAGAGAAGGTTAATACCCCCATCTTCTCAGAGCATGTCCCTGGACAAGGAAATGCCCCAGGCAGCCTGCCCCAGAAGCCTACAATACAGGAGTGTGGACTTTCACACTGGCCTCGTATTGCCACTTACAGAAGCCTGAATCAGCTCTGTCTCAGGGGGCCCCCCTCCCTCCACCCTTCCCTCCCATTCACCTGGTGGTGGATGAGACAGGCCACTCTCCGGAAGTAGATGATGGGGTTAGTGGGCTGAAAGGCACAGTACAGGGTCATGCGGGCCTTGCCCCTCAGCGTCCCAAAGGCAGGCCTGATGCTGAAGACACTCTCCTGGCAGTCGATAGCAAACTGAAAGTAGGCTGTGCAGTCTGCCTTGTTCTCAATCCATAAGGGCTTCTCAGCACGTGCCCCCAGGGTAATCAAGCTGAAGTTGATGCAGTTGTGTTGTAGGGACACAGCTGGACCTAGCATGGGAGACAGGGCCCTGTGGGCGGGTCTACCATCTGGGTAGAGCTGAGGGTCCAACTCCCCAATGATGTCTCCCTTTTGGAGATGGAGAAGCAGTCTGGGAAGTCCAGAGGTCAACCAGGAGCACCCAGGGTGAGGGCAGCATCAGAATCTCAGGTATCCAGTGATTCTTCATTGAGCCCACCAGGGGGCAGCAGATACTCAGACTGTGGAGCAACAAGGCAACTGGCTCTCAAAAGCCCACAAAGAAACGAAATAGCAGCAGGCCAGGAGATTCAAAATGCTAAGGGTAGGCTACTTCTTTCCCCAGGGAGTGCAACATTTAGGGGTGCCAGTACCTCTACAGTAACCAACAACTTTGAGCAGGGTTTGTGAGGCACAGCCGGAGGGCATGATTGAGATGTAGTCCATAGTTCTGACGTCCAAGGTCTCGGGGTGGAAAAACACAGACACATACTTCTTCTCTCCAGGGGGCACGATGCCATGGGCTGTGTGGCATGAGAAAGCCTGGTCTTTGACCAACATGTCTGAGGCCACTTCAATCCGGAAGGGGGCACTCACCTATAGGGCCAGGTGGAGCAGGGAAGAGTCTAGGTGTAGGTAGAGCAGTCTGTGAAGCTTACCAAGGAGCTCATATAAGGGGTGTTGTCTGACCTGTGCCCCCTCAGGCTGGGAGTATGTGATAATACTACCTCTACCAAGTCATGTGCCCTGCACTGGAACCAAAAAAACAAACCCATTGCTCATGATGCTGTTAAGTGCCATTGAGTTGGTTCTGACTCATTGTATCCCTGTATAGAGTTTCCAAGGAGCAGCTGGTGAGTTTGAATCTCCAACCCTGAGGTTCAAACTGACCTCGAGGTCCAGTTCTTTATTCTACAGTGCCACACCAGGACTCTTATTTTTGTTGTTGTTATGTGCTGTGGAGTCGGTTCCGACTCATAGCGACCCTGTACAGGGTTTCTGAGGCTGTAAATCTTTACAGGAGCAGAAAGCTTCATCTTTCTCCCACGGAACTATGTTGTCGTTGGTAAGTGCTGTCAAGTCGATTCCAACCCAAAGCGATCTTGTATAGGGCTTCCAAGGAGTAGCTGGTGAGCTTGAACCACCGACCTTGAAGTTCAAATGACTTTGCAGTCTGATGCATTAACCCACAGTGCCACACCAGGACTCCTTGGATGGAGTCAATTCCAACTAGTGTGGACCCCATGTAAAACAGAACCAAGCTCCGTATGGTTTTCTTTATGGAAGCAGATTGCCAGGACTTTCTTCTTTGGTACCACTGAGTGGGTTCAAACCTCCAATCATTATGTTAGTAGCTCAGCGCAAACCATTTGAACCTAATAAACCCCTTTCTTCTTATCACAAAGACCTCATAAAGGCTAGTGGAAGTCCTTTGGGGGTGTTCTCAGGGTTCTCTATGGCTCACGGGATATCCCAGCTGACAGAAGAGTGGTGTTCATAGACACAGACTAGGTGAGGCCTAGGGCTGAAGGTGAGGAGTGGGAGGGGTACTCCATAAAGGGAGCTTTAGGAGCACCCAAAAGCCGGACCGTGAATAAGGAAGACCGTAGAAGAATTGATGCTTTTGAGTTATGGTGTTGGAGGAGAATATTGAAAGTGCCATGGGCTGTCAAAAGAACCAATAGATCTGTGTTGGAAGAATTGCAGCCAGAGTGCTCCTTGGAGGCCAAAATGGTCAAACTTCGTCTCTCATACTTCGGACATATTGTCAGGAGGGATCAGTCGCTGGAGAAGGATATCATGTTTAGTAAGGTGGAGGGTCCTCTGGTAGCATAGTGGTTATGAATCGGGCTGCGAACCACAAGGTCAACAGTTTGAAACTACCAGCTGCTCCGCGGGACAAAGATGAGGCTTTCTGCTCCCGTAAAGATTTACAGCCTCGGAAACCCTGTTCAGGGTCACTATGGGTCGGAACCGACTCGACAGCACTTAACAACAACAACAAGGTGGAGGGTCAGAGAAAAAGAGGAAGATCCCCACTGAGATGGATTGGCAAAGTGGCAGCATCAATGGGCTAAAGCATGGCAACAATAGTGAGGTTGGCCCAGGATCAGGCAGTGTTTCGTTCTGCTGTGCATAAGGTAGCTATGAGTCGGTACTGACTCGATGGCACCTAGCAACAACAATACCAACAGTAGCACCCAGTCCTGTAGTCCCCAGGTTCCGGGTCCCACCCTCTCCCTGGGGAACATACCACTGATGGGTTATACAGCTTGATCTGCCTCTGGGCGGTGCAGCCCACAGGGACAAAGCCAAAGTGTAACACCTTCTGGCAGCCCTCAGTGTCCTGGTCCTCTGGCCGCTTCTGTTTGATGCTCACCAGCAGCTGGGCGCACTTGGCTGGGGCAGAGATAGGGGCTCTTGAGGAAACTTGCCAGGACCTTTGTGACCCCAGCTGAGCAGCCCCTCCAAGAAAGCACATGTCCCCAGGGAAAACCCTGCTTGCAACCTCAAGGAAGGGCTGGAGGAAAGCAAGAGGCTGGGCGAGGTCCTGTTGGGGCCAAGGCAGAAGGAAAGGGCCCACTGAAGCTTTGAGATACAGGGAGGCATAATAGGACAGGGGATTGGTAAGGGTAGGTCTCACCCACAGCCTGCAGCTGGATGCTGGTCTTCTGCTTGCTGCTGTCCCCGAACCAGCACATGGCCTGTACCTCATAGATGACAGCCATCACAGGCTGGAAGGTCACCTTGACCTGGCAGGTCTGGCCTGACTCCAGCAGTCCCGTGGTGGGCAGCATTTGGAATGGGCTGGAAAACTCCCAGGTGAAGAAGGTGGGCAGGTCCCTGAGAGGGAGAAGTGGGGGACAGATCAGTACCCCAAGGTTCATCCGGATACTGCTGCTGCTTTAGAAAGCAGACACACTAGGAAGCCCTCCTTCAATGTCCCCCCTCCGGGATATGCCAGTCTCTCTTGCTCCCTGGCACCCTCTTCACTGAAAAATTGAGTGAGCCTCAGCCTCTGCCCTCACCCCACATTATCCAGGCAGAACGAGGCCTCGACCGTGTCTCCCACAGCACACGTGGGTAGCTTCAGGGACGGTGGGCAGGTCAGCTTGTGACAAGGCAGCATGGCCCTCAGGTCCACACAGAACATCCCCTCTGCTTTCTCAAACCACAGCTGGTCCTTGTATTCCTTCTACAGCATCAGGAACAGGGAAGGGGACGGGGCAGGTACTGATCAGGGAACACGCATCCAACTACCTCCAACACACAGTGATTGAGGGCTGGGCTGGGAGGTACCCACTCTCTTGGTCTCCAACATTGTCTTGGTCTCAGATATGGAGAGATCTCCTTTGTGCATAACAAATTATTGGTGGAGGGGACTTTTGGGAACAGGAAGAGGCCAAGGCATCTTGGCTTGTTGTAAACAATTCATCTATTGGCCAAGGCTTTCTGGTGGTCAATATAGTACCACAGTCTTTACCCTCCTGTGTCCAAGGCTTCCCAAGCTGGTGCCTTGCCATGCTGGCAGAACGAGGGGGTGGTGGAGGGAGGCATTGCTTAGAAAGCCCACCGCTCTGCTCAACCTCTTGTTCTGAGGTTGTAGCTCTCACCTTCTTCCCACCCTTCTTGCTGTGGTGGCCTTACCTCCTCCAGAGGCCGGAAGAAGATGGGAAGAGTGAGGGTAATGCCCGGGCTCAGTAAGATGGGCTGAGGGATAACCGTGAAGAAGAACTTTGTCTTGGGAGGCCTGCAGGAGACAGCCAGAACTGACGCTTCTCAGAAGATTAAGAGAGATCTTAGAGAGCTGACAGGACATGAGTCATTCCCAGGATGGACGAGACCCTGGCAATGAGTCCATGGGGTGGGGGTGGGGGCACCACGAGGGTCTGTTATAGGGAACTTTTCTCCCTTCTCCCTCCTTGTGATGTTGGATGACTTCAAGTCAATTCCAACTCACAGTTGATCCCACATGTCAGAGGAGAATTGCTCGGTAGGGTTTTGTTGGCTGTAATCTTTAAGGAACCAGATTGCCAAGTCTTTCTCCTCAAGAGCCACAGGGTGGATTTGAACCAACAACTTTTGGTTAGCAGTTGAGTGTTTTAACAATTGCACCAGTAGGCTCATTGGAGACCCTGGCTTTCTCTCAAACCTCACTCCAGGATGTCAGAGAAATGGATGAAAGGGTCTAGGGCAAAGCAGCATTTTGGTCCTCTGCTCAGCATGGTGCTCAGTGGGGGGAGGGATGGGGAAGGACTGCCTTGATTCAGCAGAATCCCTGAGCACTTAGTTGGGGGCAACCAGGACTGAGAATAGAGGTGCTGGGAGGCGTCCCAGGCTGGGGCAAATCTTGAGATGCTTCAGACTTTTAAAGGATGTTAACAATAGGAGGATATTTTCAATAGCTCTGTACCAATAAATATCAATGTTTCAATGAAATAATCATATTCCTAGGAAAATGTAACTGACCAATATTGACTCAAGAATTATACAAGTTTAGTACTGGTACAACGAAAGACACAGAGATCAATTTAATAGAATTCAGAACCTAGAAGTAAATTCATCTACCTACAGTCAATTGATCAAAATGCATGAAATGGGGAAGAGACAGTCTCTTCAACAAATGGTGTGGCAAAACTGGCCATTTGCAGAAAAATGAAGCAAGACCCATGTGGTTGTTGTTAGTGCCGTTGAATTGGTTCTGACTCATAGTGAACCTGTATAGGGTTTCCAAGGAGCAGCTGGTGAGTTTGAACCATTGACCTTGTGGTTCGCAGTTCAGTACTGATCCTGCAGTACAATATATAACACAATATACAAAAATGAACTCAACAGGGATTAAAGACTTAAATACAAAACCTAAAACTATATAGATCACCAATGAAAAAATCAGGACAGACTTAGGAGCTCTGATACATGGCATAAATACACTATCCAACATAAGTAACAACACACAACAGCAGAAGATAAAGTAGGTGACTGGGGGTTCCGAAAAACTGGCACTTATGTGCATCCAAGGATTCCACTAAAAGAGTAAACAGAGAATCCACAGATTGGTATGAAAAAAATGTTCGGCAACAACATATCAGACCAAGGACTACTCTCTAAAATTTATAGAACATTTCAATGTCTCAACAAGAAGACAAATAATCCAATTTGGAAAAGGACAGAGAACATGAACAGACACTTCACCAAAGAAGACACTCAGTCTACCAACACACACATGAAGAGATGCTCACGATCATTAGCCATTTGTTGTTATTGTTGTGAAAATAAAATAACAATGAAATATCATCTTGTTGTTGTTATTGTTAAATGCTGTCAAGTTGGTTCCACTCAGTGACCTATACAGGGCTTCTGAGGAGCAGCTGGTGGATTTGAACTATTGAACTTGTGGCTCACAGTCCAGTGCTGATCCTACAATGCCACATCAGTAGTATTAATAGCAAAGTTCCAAAAAACATCAAATACTGGTGAGGGTGTAGAGAGACTGGGATCCTCCTATACTGCTGAAGGGACTGTAAAATGGTGCAACCACTGTGGAAAGTGATGTAGTGCTTCCTCAGAACGTTAAGAGATAAAAATACTGCATGACCCAGCAATCCCTCTACTTGGTATAGATCCTCAAGAAATAAGAGCTATGACACAACTAGATATATGCACACCCATGTTCACTGAGCACAATTCACAATAGCAAACTGACAGAGAAAGCCTAAATGCCCATCAACAGAAGTATGGGTAAAACAAACTTAGGTACACACACACAATGGGATACTATACAACGTCAAGAATAACAATGACTCTGCAAAACACTTCATAACATGAATGAACCTGGAGGACGTTATGCGGAGTGAAGTCAGTCAATTACAAAAAGGCAAATATTGCATAAGACCACTGTTGTAAAAAGTTAAGGAAACGTTTTCTTGCTAAATGCAACACTCTATGATGGTTACAGGGTGGGTGGGGGATGAGGGAAGGGAAAAAAATCAAATGACTAGAGGTAAATACTATAAACTGATGATCCATGGAGGGGATTGCTATCCTTGTAATGACACAAAGTGTATCATTTGTTGAAGGTGGGACTGATACTCCATTCTGTAAATCTTCACTCAATTCACAATAAAAAGTTAAAAACAAAAAGAATTATACAAATTTAATGGTTGTTGTTAAGTGTTGTTGAGTTGATTCCAACTCATAGAAACCCCATAGGACAAGGCAGAACTGCCCACAGGGTTTCTAGGCTGTAATCTTTATGAGAGCAGATCGCTCAGCCTTTGCTCTGACAGAGCTGCCAGTGGGTTTGAACCAGCAACCCTTCACTTAGCAGTCAAGTGCTTAACTGTTGCACCATCAGAAATCCTTTAAGTTGGATGGCTGTTCTATCTAAATTCATCAAGAAATTGAATAGATCACTTAAAAAAAACTTCCCACAAAGAAAACACCACGCCAGATGCCTTTATAGCAAGTCCCAAGAGCATTCAAGGAATGATAATCCTGGTCTTAAACTCTTCCCGATAATATAAAATATGAAAATCCTCTCAATGTATTTTATGAAATCATCACAACATTGTTCCCCAAGCCTGGCAGGGGCAGCAGGAGAGGAAAGGCAAATTGCAAACCAATCTCACTCATAAAGTATTAGCAAAAAGAATTCAGCAACGTATAGAAAGGATACTCAATCATGATCAAATTGGGTTTATTCTAGGAATACTTGGTTAGTTTGACATTGCAAATCAAACTAGCCACTCCTCAGAAACCCTAACTATAAGGGGTTCGTTATGAGTCAGAACCAACTTGACAGCACTTAACAAAAATATTAATAAATAAAATTATCCTCCTCTCTACAGTTAAAAAAAATAAGCTTCAATATATATTTATGAGAAAAATTCTTAGCAAACTCAGAATAGTAAGGAAGCTTCTTATCCTGATAAGTAAAATCTATATTTTAAAAAAACCTACAGGAAAATGACAACAACAATAACAGGAAAATACAACTGAATGGCGAATATGTTAGGATTTTCCCTCTGAGAGCATGGATAAAACAAGATGCACCTGTAAGTAGCTTCTGTTCAGTAGTTTCCTACTCAAAGCAAGTAAGTGCAGTTAGGAAAGAAAAAGCATAAAGATTGGAAAAGAAAAAAGAAAAATACAGCTTTTCCTTTATGAAATATAAACGTGTCCTTGGAAAAACAAAGCAATTAATAGATGAATTGTTAGAATTAATAAGAGCATTTACCAAGGTTGCTGGATACAAAATCCATATGAAAAGTAACTAACTTTCTAGTTTCTAACTAGCAACCAACAGAAAATGAAAACAAGTTTAAAAGGCACCATGTACAACAGCATCAAAAATAGAAAATACTTTGGCATAAATCTAACTCTAGATATACAAGATATCTCTGATAAAGTTTGGCACTTTATTGAGAAATTCTCTCTCTATATATATATATATATACACCATGTTCATGAGTTGAGAGATTCAATAGTACAATGATGTTGAGTCTCCCCAAATCGATCTACAGTTTCAACTATATCCCAATCAAACTCTCAAAGTGTGTGTGTATGATAAACAGATTTGAAGATTTATATGAAAGTACAAAAGGAGCCCTGGTAATGTAGTGGTATGAGCCAGGGTGCTAACTGCAAGGTCAACAGTTCAAGTCTATTAGCTGCTCTGCAGGAGAAAGATGAGGTGTTCTGCTCCCATAAAGATTTACAGCCTCAGAAGATCTATATAGGGAAGCTGTGAGTCAGAACTGACTCAGTGGCACAGCACCACCACCATGAAAATACAAATGGCCAAAGATAGACAACACAAAGGCGAACAAAGTTGGAGACCTTACATCAGCAATTAGTACAATATACTATGTTATTGTTGTTAAATGCCCTAGAGTTTGGCTGTGACTTATAGTGACCCTATATAGGGTTTCTGAAGAGCTGCTGGTAGGTTTGAACCACCAACCTTGCAGTTAGAAGTCCAGTGCTTATCCTAAAGAATGACACCAGGACTCCTACAACACACTGTAAATTTTCATAATTAATCCAGAGTGGTAATCAGGGTGGACCAGGGATAAACAAACAGATCAAGGGAACAGAGAGTCCAGTAACGAACCTGTACATATATTGCTACTTGATACAGGGAGCTTCAAAAAGTTCATGGAAACTTTCATTATCTTTCAATTCCATTCTTCCATGAACTTTTCAAAGTCTATGATATAGGAGATTGCCAGGAAAATATGAACTTCCCAATATATGGTATTGGGACCATGAGGCATTTAGTTGAGAAAAAAAATGTCATTGCAGCCCTACTTCAAATCATTCACAAAAGGCAGTTCCATGTACATGCATATATAAGACCTGAATGTGAAGAGCAAAACTACGTTTTTAGAAGATACACTATGAGAGAATATTTTCATGACCTTGAGGTTGTAAAGGACTTCTTAAACAAGATGCACAAAGTACCAACCATAAAATAAAACAATTGATACATTCCATTACTTTGGATTTAAAGATCCCTGGTGGTATGGTGGATTAAACATTTGGACTGCTCATAGAAAGGTCCCCAGTTCAAACCCACCAGCTGCTCTGCAGGAGAAAGATGAGGTTGTCTGCTCCTGTGAAGATGTTCAGAATCGGAAACCCTAAGGCATAGTTTCAATCTGTTCTGGAGTCACTATGAGTTGGAATTGACTCACTAGCACTGGGTTGAGTTGGGTTTTCTTCAAAAGACATGATAAAGAGAGGAAAAAACAAGTGGGGTATTCACAACACAAAGCTACCAAACACCAACAGTGACAAAAGCCAATCTAAGAGAAAACAAGAGGCAAAGACTTGAGCAGGAATTTCATAAACGAAGAAAACAAATGAAAAGACAGTCAACTTCATTAGTAACCAGGAAAAGTCAAATACAAACCACAAATGACCATTATTAGCCAACATTTTAAAGCCTGACCATTGCAATTGTTGACAAGGGTGTGGAAGACCAGGAACTCCCACAACTACTGGTGGAACTGGAAAGTGATACAAGTACTCTGGAAAATAGTTTGGCTTTACCTACAAAGAGTGAGTATATATATATACACATATATATCCTAATCCCAGTAACTATATATATATAACTTGATATATACACTTCAGAGATATTGCCAGGAGGGACCAGTCCTTAGAAAATGATATCATGGTTGGTAAAGTGAAGGTCAGAGTAAAAGAGGGAGACCCCAGTGAGCTGGATTGGCACAGTGACAGCAGTGATGGGCTCAAATGTAGCAACGATTGTGAAGTTGGTACAGCACCAGGCGGTGTTTCATTCTGCTGTATACAAGGTCACAGTGAGTCATTATCAACTCCATGGCACCTAACAACAACAACTAAATATCTATACAATGTTGTTGCTAAGTGCCATCGAGTCGGTACTAACTCATAGCGATCCTATATAGGGTTTCCGAGGAGTGGCTGGTGAGCTTGAACCACCAACCTTGCAGTTCGAAGTGACCTTGCAGTCCAGCTTATTAACCCACAGCACTATACCAGGACTCCATATGTGTGAGTGTGTGTGTGTGTATGTATTTATGTTGTTGTTGTTAAGTGCTTTTGAGTCAATTCCGACTCATAGCGATCTGTATGGGGTTTCTAAGTAGTGGCTGGTGAGTTTGAACTGCCAACCTTGTTGTTCAAACAAACCTTGAGGTTGAGTGCTTATCCTATGGTGCCACACCAGGCCTCCATAAAGTTCATTTTGTTGTTGTTAAGTGCTGTTGAGTTGGTTCTGACCCACAGCGACCCTCTACAGGAATTCTGAGGGGCAGCTGGTGAGCTCAAACTTCCGATCTTGCGGTTCAAATCGACTTTGCAGTCCAGTGCATTAAAGCACATCAGGTTAATAGATAAATTGTTTACAAGTTTAAAGGTTGTTGTTAAATGTTGCTGAGTTGATTCCAACTCATAGCAACCCCAGAGGACAGCGTAGAACTGACCATAGGGTCAGCACCACACTAGGACTCCATTAAGTTAGTAAAAAAGTAAAATTAAACTATATTCTTTAGCGATACACATACAGGTGGTAAATCTATTTAAAGAAAGTAAGAAAATGATGATAATAAAAGTTAGGCTAGTAGATAACTCTAGGAGCAGAGAGGACCTCTAATAGGAAATATGTACGTGTATATAATGGGGACAGTGAGCGTCAAAACACTTCTTGATCTGCTCTTGAATCTGGTCACATGGGCTCCACTTCCTGTAATTCTTCAAACTACACATCCTTCTGATTTTATATGACGTTTTACAAGTGCCTGGTTTGAAAGCTTAAGGGCTCAGGAACCTTATATTGGTACCTATACTTGATCTTCTGAATTTTCAAGGATAGGTTTTTCAAAGCCAGGTTCTTGGTCATCTCCTTCCCCAGCTCCCAGCCCTTCCAGTGAAGCTCCTCCACGACCTCGATACCCCAGATGACTCTCCTCTTCACTTTGTCCTGATTCTTTGGGAAGCATAGCTGAGCTTCCTTGGTCCTGGAACGTTGCTTCAGTTGTTAGGGAGAAAGGAGAGAGAAAAGGACACAGTAATGGAGTAGGATTCAAAGACCTAGAGAACTTGCAAAGACCATCCCCCACCCCATCCTGAGAAGAAGGAACACCACCACACCTCAGCCCAGGAGATGATCTGGAGAGAAGGTGAGGAATCTACGGGCCTTGGAGTACATATTTCCTATTTCAAGGTTACTGGAATGTTTTTCCAACTAAATTTTCTTCCCTAGGCCACCCATTGAGCAAGTCCATCAGACACACAAATGCAGTCTTGGCTGGCCTCTTCTGTTCCTCAGTGCACTCTCAGAAATCTTTCCCCTCAACTGCTGCCTCCTCTTCCTCCCCATCCTACCCCTCCCTTGCAGAGCCTCTACTAGCTGAAGCAATCTTGCCCAGACACTTATCCAGACCATAGGACATTCCACCTTTCCCTCTCCCCTCTCTCAACTGGCTGATAGGAAAGAGGAAGAAGCTAATTTGCCTGTGGCCAAACCCTGTCCCGTGTCCTGTCTTCTGGGACTACTGCAAGCACAGCTCCTTTCTCTAATGAAAGATGGCTTCACAGGTTGACCCATAAGCCCTCTGGAGCTGAGGGAGGAGAATGGAAACCTCCATGGGGTGGTACGGTGGTAGGAGGGCTGAAGCAGATAATTTCCTGTGTTTTACTTTCCATTGCTTTTTTTTACTGTTATATAAGCATTCATTCATTCGTTCATTCAACAAATATTTGTTGACCACATACTATGCACCAGACACTGTTATGTCCTGGATCTACAATGGTGAACAAGACAGACAAATCTATCTCTCTTAGAGCTTACATTCTCAGTTTCCATAGAGCACGAGTAGCCAATATAGTACTCCCTTCCAAGATGTACCCATAGAGGAAAGGTGCCAGACTGATGAAGGGTAATTTACTTGGTGGATAAACCCAGACAACAATTCACTAAGTGAAATATGTCAGCTGCAAAAGGACAAGTACTGTATAATCTCAGTGATATAAAGTAAGCAAATATAGAAAAATCAAATATTATTAATGATTATCAGGTATGGGAGGGAGAGGGAGTTTTGCTTAAGGAGCAGTGAGTTTATATTACTGGTGATGGAAAAATTTGGAAAAGGATATCGATAAAGGCTGCACAACATGAAGAATGCAATCATTGTCACTAAATAGCACATGTGGAAACTGTTGAACTAGTGAAGGTTCTGGTAAGTATATTTTCACCTCAATTAAAAAACAAAACAAAACAAAAAAACTTTGTACATTTGTCAGGGTCCAACCAAGAGAAGTCAATCTGGGTGCTTAAGGTAGGGAATTCAATGCAGGGAATTATTTTCACCACCAGGGGCTAATCAAGTAACCCAGAAAGTCTAGAAGCTGCTACCACATCTAGGTCAGAGAGGTAAAGGAAGAGGTGGGGTTTAGAGCCTAGAGATCTGTCTAGTGGCAACTAGAGCCATGGAGATGTGATCCATTGGGAGACACTGCCAAAATCAGGAAGGAAGAAATACTGTGGTTCCTCTCCTCTTCCCACTTTCCACTTTCCTGTCAGCCCACAGCAGAGCCAGGGAAGGGCAAGGAATAGGTCTGAGGGCAAACAAGCCCAGAATGACACAGATGGAGGGATGAGATACCTTTCAAAATACGATCCTCAGTCTACCAGAGGTCAATATTCCCACCATCCCATCTACTGAGACAGCCAACACCCACATACAACCCCAAACTTTAAGTCCTACCTTGTAGTCAACCTATACACCACACTGTCATATAGAGAGAACCTCAGAACTCTTAAACAAAGGCCTCTGGGGGTCAAGACCAAAAGAACCCTCCGAGGGAAGAGAGAAGTACAGGCTACTTTCTAGGGCTCGACTTCCCCCCATGACTGCCATTCTGGTCCACTTGATGCTCAATCTATGCAAGAGTCAAGCCCTCTCAGATTTCCCCCACCCATGCCCTGCTGCCTGCCCCCTGTCACACACCCTGGACATGTCCTTACACAGGTACTGGTATTGTTGCTGCAGGCACTTAGGGCTGAGTTGCTGCCATTGATGGTGAGGGCAGCCACTGTGCTGGCACTCAGGCATGCTGCAGAGTTCATGGTGCAGTCCCTGCTGTCCTTGAGCTTCAATCAGGCACCTGGAACACAAGTTCAAGTGGAGCATCCTGGTAAAGCCAGGACCAGATCCTGGCCCAAGTTTGGAGCTGGGAAAAGAGTAGGCTGGAGCTAGGAAGGACATGAAAAAGGAGAGATGAGTGGAGTAGACTCACCAGGGCCATCAATATGAAGGAGAGAACCTGCTCCCAGACCTGGCCACAAGTGTGAGGTGACACTATGGGGAATGAGACTAAACACAAGATCCAGGGCTTTGCTTGGGACACAGAAACTCACCACTCAAGAAAGCCATCTGAAAGAGGGACTTGGGGAAAAAGCACCCTAATCATGTCCCTCTAGGTTAATAGCCATAGTTGGCATTCCTCAGTAAGAACCCACTGACTATTACTGAAACATATGCATTCCCTCTATCTGGCTTGTACTCTACCTGTTCCTCTGAGTGTGTCTTGCCTCCTGTGAATGTGAGACAAAAAAGAGGAAAATGGGCTTCCTGATCTTCTGGGTTTCCTCCAGCAGTACACAACCTGTAATCCAGATTCAAAGTAAACATCCACTACAAAAACGAATCAGTCAACCACAGAGTAAATGGGTTTAACCCCAAGGGGCATGGGTGGACTGCAGCAGAAAATTAAATGCAAAATGTCATTTGTGTGCTCTTTTCCAGAAAGGTTTCCATGGTCTTCACCAAATGCTTAAAAGGGTACTTGACCTTTGTTGTTAAGTAAGTACTGTAGAGTAAGTTCCGACTCATAGTGGCCCTGTATAGGGTTTCTGAGGCTGTAAATCTTTGTAGGAGAAGAAAGCCTCATATGGTTCATGTTGTTGTTGTTAAGTGCTGTCGAGTCAGTTGTGATTCATAGTGACCCTGTATAGTGGCTGTTGAGTTTGAACCACAAGGGTCAAGTGCTTATCCTACAGCGCCATGTAGTACAGTGTTTATCGTACAAAGTCACTGTACTCCCTGGTCCCGTTCTTTGTTAAGTGCCACCGAGTCAATTTTGACTCATATTGACCCTGTAGGTGGCATCATTGATGGCATCGAGTGTGGCGGCGGTAGTGAGGTTGGCCCAGGATTGGACATTGTTTCGTTCTACTGTGCATGGGGTCGCTATGAGTCGGTTCCAACTCGATGGCACCTGACAACAACAATAGGGTTTCCAAGGAGCAGCTGGTGGGTTTGAACTGCTGACCTGTGGTTCAAAGTCCAGTATTGATCCTACAGCTCCACATCAGGAGCCCTGCTCCAAGGGACAACAAATCCACTCTTCCTTAGCAGGCTTCCTGTAGCATGCACACTCAAGTGTGTTTTGTAGCATACAAATATAAGAGGATAACACTTTTCATACACAGACACTCTAACAATGACCAATCCTGCTGAGGAACACATACAAGTGGTTTGCAGACCTCTATGAAGATCCACCTTGTAAAGTTCAGCTTGCATTTCTCTTTCAATTCTATGTGGAGCTATCATCTGTGAATCACATAATAGGGTGTTGCATAGCACCCCAATATGATGTAAACACCATAGTAATCTTAAATTTTCTGGTAGCCACATTAAAAAAAGAAACAGGTGAAAGTAATTGTAATTTTATCTTATTTACTCCTATAGATCCAAAATATTTTCATCTCAACATGTAATAAGTGTACAAATTATTAATGAGATATTTTGAATTCTTTTGTTTTGGACCGAGACTCCAAAATCTGGTGTGTATTCAGCACAGTTCAATTTGGACTATCACCTTCTAAGGGCTCAATATTCGCTACCAAATTGAACAACATTTATTCAAAAGCTTTTATGAACATATATATACTTTTTAGACTCCTCAGTACCTTTTCCCAACTTTTGGAATAACAATCACAAAAACAGCAACAGCCTCTATTGAGATGCCCTGAGAATTTATTATCTGCCAGGCAACATTGCAAGACCTTCATTTTAATACTGACAATAGTTTCTAATTAGCTGTAAATTGCATTTTTACTTGATCTAAAATGACCTCCTTTTAAGTTTGTGATCAGCTCCATATTAACACACTTAGATTGTTATACCCAGGATACTCAGTAACCTGAAATACACAAACAATTTCATGGTCTCTAGTTAGGACGTACTTCCATCAGACACTTTCCCAACCCCATCCAGAGCAAAAGATTCGGTTGATTAAATTTTTCCTAATTATCAACATCTCGGAAACTTCTAGCGGGGACTATCTTAGAGTCACTCATTTATTCATTTGGAAAGCACTCAGTGAGTGTCTCCTATGCACCAGGCACTATCTAGGCACCAGACAAGACAATCAAGCCCCCTACCTTCAAATGGGAGGAAGACGTACAGATAGAATAAAGAAATGCAAGTTTGAGACACAGGAAGGAGGGTCCTTTAACTTTTCTGCCACGGGATAGCTTGCAGTCCTGCTGTCACATTAATGCTTCTGACTTCCCAGCATTCCACAGAAAGCCTCTTCTCAGGGCTCTGAAAGGTCTCGAATTAACATATGAAATTCCCAGAGAGCGCACAAAAGAGATGAAAGGTACCAGAGTAGAAAGTTGGGCCAGCTCTGCACAGGGCTTAGAGGAGTGAGCAATGAAGGCGAGCCTCTAGAATCTACTCACTTTTTGTTGAAATAGCCCCTCAGTCAAACTCCCCGAACTTCAATCGCCTCGCCTGCAAAATAATGGTGTGTGTTGACTACTTCACAAAATTGACGTGTAGCTGGAAGGGACACGGGAATTTGAAAGAAAACACTCCACAAACCTATGTTGTTATAATTAACCATCATCATTTCCATACTAGCCTGCACGATTCTTCCAATGATTCGGAAGTCTGCAATTGTGACTGGGCAATTTTTTTTAAACCCAATTTTTTAATTTAAAGGATTAAGAATATATCTCTCACGCTACCGCTTCCTTTATTTGCTTAGTTTCAGGCCTATAAAATTCTTGAGATGACCAATGGAAACAGTGGAGGGTCGTCGCAGAGTATCGAAGGAAGAGGGATTAGGTAAAATGAAAGGGCACATGAAAATATACTCAGGGCTGTTCCTGCTCTCTCTTCCGGATCCCGAATCCCGTCTGATTCTCTCCTCCCTCCGCCCAAGTCTCGGCTCCCAGGGCTCTCCGAGGAAACCCTTGGCCACAACTTTCTGTAGGAAGCAGATAATAGAGAACCTTATCCAACACACGCGCAGCTCCTCTAGGATCAATTCAGACCGCCGCGGTGTTGTCGTTTCCATAGGAACGGGAAGCTCAGACTACGCCGCCTACGACTGGTATCCCAGGGCAACGACGGTAGCCGGAATGAGTCAAGGCACTAAGAAAGCAAATACATTTCTCAATTTCAGTGAATACCTTTAATTTTCATTCCCAAACTTTCCTTGCGAAGTCCTGGTGTGACCCTGTAGGTAAAGCACAGGACGTAACCACAAGGTTGGCGGTTCAAAGCCACCAACTCTTCTTGGAAATCCTATACAAAGTCGCTATGAGTCATCTGAAGAACTGATTTGATACATTAAACACTAAAGACGGAAGACCAGAAGAGTTATGGGATGACATCAGGACCATCATACAGGAAGAAAACAAAAAGTCATTACGAAAACAAGAAAGAAGGAAAAGATCAAAATGGATGTCAAAAGAGACACTGAAACTTGCTCTCCAGCATAGAGATGCTAAAGCAAATGGAAGAAATGAGGATGTACAAGAGCTGGACAGAAAATTTCAAAGGTCAGCTTGAGAACATAAAGTCAAACATTACAAAATGTGTAAAGATCTGGAGTCAGAAAACCAAAAAGAAGAACACACTCAGCATTTCTCAAGCTGGGGGAACTGAAGAAAAAATTCAAGCCTCAACTTTCGTTATTGAAGGATTCTCTGGGCAAATAATTGAATGATGCAAAAAGCATCAAAAGAAGATGGAAGGAATACACAGAGTCGTTGTACCAAAAGGAAATGGTTGATGTTCAACCGTTTCAAGAGGCAGCATATAATCAACAGCCAATGATACTGAAGGAAGAAGTCCAAGGTGTATTGAGAGAATTGGCAAAGAACAAGGCACCAGGAATTGATGGAATAAAAATGGAAATTTTTCAAGAAAGTGAAGCGGCACTGGAGGCACTCACTCATCTCTGCCAAGAAATTTGGAAGACAACTATCTGACCGACTGATTGGAAGAGATCCATATTTGTGCCCATTCTAAAGAGAGGTGACCCAATGGAATGCGGAAATCATCGGACAATATCTTTGATATCCCATGCGAGTAAAGTTTTACTAAAGGTAATACAGAAACAACTTCAGGCATACATTGACAGAGAACTTCCAGAGGTTCAAGCCGGATTCAGAATGAAGAATATCATTGCTGATGTCCAATGGATCTTGGCTCAAAGCAGAAGATATCAGAAAGATGTTTACCTGTGCTTTATTGACTATGCTAAGGCTTTCGATTGCGTGGATCATGACAAGCTATGGAAAACATTGCGAAGTATGAGTATTCCGGAACACTTAATTGTGCTCATGAGGAATCTGTACCTGGACCAAGAAAAAGTTGTTCGAACAGAACATGGGAACACTGAATGATTTAAAATTAAGAAAGATGTGCGACAGGGTTGTATTCTTTCACCATACTTATTCAACCTGTGTGCTGAGCAAATAATCCAAGAAGCTGGATTCTATGAAGAAAAACGTGGCATCAGGATTGGAGGAAGACTCATTAGCAACCTGCAATATGCAGATGATACAACCTTGCTTGCTGAAAGTGAAGAAGACTTAAAACATTTACTGATGAAGATCAAAGCGCACAGCCTTCGGTATGGATTGCATCTCAATGTAAAGAAAACAAAAATCCTCACCACTAGGACCAATAAATAACATTGTTATCAATGAAAAAAAGATCGAAGTTGTCAAGGACTTAATTCTTCTTGGATCAATTATCAACACTCATGGAAGCAGCAGTCAAGAAATAAAATGATGTATTGCATTAGGAAAATCTGCTGCACAAGACCTTTTTAAAGCGTTGAAGAGCAAAGATGTCAGCTTGAGGACTAAGCTGCACCTGACCCAAGCCATGATATTTCTAATAACCTCAGATGCATGCAAAATCTGGACAGTGAATAAGGATGACCATAGAAGAATTGATGTTTTTGAGTTATGGTGTTGGAGGAGAATATTGAAAGTGTCA